TCACTCACCCTCACCTCCTCACTCACTTTCACCTCCTCACTCACCCTCACACCTCCTCACTCACCCTCACACCTCCTCACTCACAAACCTCACTCACCCTCACCTCCTCACTCACCCTCACTCACACACCTCACTCACCCTCACCTCCTCACTCACCCTCACACCTCCTCACTCACCCTCACCTCCTCACTCACCCTCACTCACCCTCACACCTCCTCACTCACCCTCACCTCCTCACTCACCCTCACACCTCCTAACTCACCCTCACCTCCTCACTCACCCTCACTCACCCTCACACCTCACTCACCCTCACCTCCTCACTCACTCTCACCTCCTCACTCACCCTCACACCTCGTCAATCACCCTCACACCTCCTCACTCACCCTCACCTCCTCACTCACCCTCACACCTCCTCACTCACCCTCACCTCCTCACTCACCCTCACCTCCTCACTCACCCTCACACCTCCTCACTCACCCTCACCTCCTCACTCACCCTCACACCTCCTCATTCACCCTCACCTCCTCACTCACTCTCTCACACACCTCCTCACTCACCCTCACCTCCTCACTCACCCCCTCACTCACAAACCTCCCCACTCACCCTCACCTCCTCACTCACCCTCACCTCCTCACTCACCCTCACACCTCACTCACCCTCACCTCCTCACTCACCCTCACACCTCCTCACTCACCCTCACCTCCTCACTCACCCTCACACCTCCTCATTCACCCTCACCTCCTCACTCACCCTCTCACACACCTCCTCACTCTCCCTCACCTCCTCACTCACCCCCTCACTCACAAACCTCCTCACTCACCCTCACCTCCTCACTCACCCTCACCTCCTCACTCACCCTCACACCTCCTCACTCACCCTCACCTCCTCACTCGCCCTCACCTCCTCACTCACCCTCACCTCCTCACTCACCCTCACACCTGCTCACTCACCCTCACCTCCTCACTCACCCTCACACCTCCTGACTCACCCTCACACCTCCTCACTCACCCTCACCTCCTCACTCACCCTCACACCTCCTCACTCACACACCTCCTCACTCACCCTCACACCTCCTCACTCACACACCTCCTCACTCACCCTCACCTCCTCACTCACCCTCACACCTCCTCATTCACCCTCACCTCCTCACTCACCCTCTCACACACCTCCTCACTCACCCTCACCTCCTCACTCACCCCCTCACTCACAAACCTCCTCACTCACCCTCACCTCCTCACTCACCCTCACCTCCTCACTCACCCTCACCTCCTCACTCACCCTCACCTCCTCCCTCACCTCCTCACTCACCGTCACACCTCCTCACTCACCCTCACCTCCTCACTCACCCTCACACCTCCTCACTCACCATCACACCTCCTCACTCACCCTCACCTCCTCACTCACCCTCACCTCCTCACTCACCCTCACCTCCTCACTCACCCTCACCTCCTCACTCACCCTCACCTCCTCACTCACCCTCACACCTGCTCACTCACCCTCACCTCCTCACTCACACACCTCCTCACTCACACACCTCCTCACTCACCCTCACCTCCTCACTCACCCTCACCGTCTCACTCACCCTCAACTCCTCACTCACCCTCACCTCTTCACTCACCCTCACACCTCCTCACTCACCCTCACACCTTCTCACTCACCCTCACCTCCTCACTCACCCTCACTGCCTCACTCACCCTCACTCCTCCTCACTCACCCTCACACGTCCTCACTCACCGTCACCTGCTCACTCACCCTCACCTCACTCACACACCTCCTCACTCACCCACACCTCCTCACTCACCCACACCTCCTCACTCACCCTCACCTCCTCCCTCACCCTCACCTCCTCACTCATTCCCCCCCCCCCCCACCGCTGGCTACGGATGGCGGTTGGTGATATCGCGTGTACAAAAAAAGTTACATCTTCTAAAAAGAAGAACACGAAGTAAAACGTTAACGTAGCCAGTTAACAACAAACAAACAAAAAATAGAACGCTCGTAAACGTTTCCCCTACTCGTTCGTTTTATTTTTTAATCACCAGTCAAATAAAGTGTACAAAGTTGTCAGCCTTCACATCTGCGTGGCCCAACCACGCCGATACAAATCAAGGCGAGCGGCTCCTCGTGGCCAGCAAAGCACCCGCGCGGTAAATGGATTGAGCTCCTTCCGCGGGCTCACGGCATTCTGAGTCACAACACAGCCCCACATCACCAACACCACCACCATCATTACCATCATCCCCCTCCCGAGGTCGACAGAAATGAATAATACTATTTGTGTTGAGGCTGAACCGCATTGGGCCGTAGCCGACCCAACATGAACGACTGAACCCGCATACATTTTGATTTAAAGCTTTCGTGACTGCAGTAATTCATATTCTTAGCTCTTTCGGTAAAGTCACGTTGAAGGGAAAAAATAAAATAATAAAAAATATATAAAAAAAACAATAAAAAAAATTCTCACGACGTTTCGACCATAACACAAACCGACACACCTGATGACGACCGTTTGTGTTATGGTCAAAACGTCGTGAGAATTTTTTTATTGTTTTATATATATTTTATTGTTTCCCTTCAACGTGACTTTACCGAAAGAGCTAAGAATATGAACCCGCATAGTTTGGAATTGCACGCGCGAGCCCGGGAGAGGAGCACGTGGCCCAGGAGCCGCTGGTTATTCTCAACCTTGTTGTGTTGGTCGCGGCTCTAACCTCCCACCCTCCCATCCCCTCGCCTTACCCAACATGGCTCTGATAAATATAACAATGATGAACACCGTCGCGACATTATAGCCGATTGTCAATTTTGCGAGGTTATATCCCCGACCCCCCGCAACTTAGCTGAGCAACTGCCGAGCGAATTCCATGGAGGGGAATTGAACGGACGTAATGTGTTCACGCTCGCTGGTTACCCTTGGTAACCCGCACCGATTACGATCGCTGATTTTTACGTCTCTTATATCGTTCTCGGTGACCATGTGGATCAAAGTAAAAAAAAATAAAAAAAATCGGAGTTATTTTTCTATCACAAGATTCGCACGTTTTGGTTATTTACCGATGACTCTCACGTGCGATTTAACTTCACACGTTTGTATGACTCACCTTGCGTACCTCCTGGGACATTGCCACGTGTTGGCCCCAGGGGTCCACGTAAGAACCACTGGATTAGAGGGTGTGCTCAGGTTATAGAAGCCGGCATTCGATGTCGCAAGCGCAGGAGAAGCCGCTCTTAAAGACGGCGATTTGTTTATAGGAAACCGGTCGTTCAGCGATTTGGTTGTTAAGCGAGTACAGGAAATACACGTTCGGTCCGATAGCGTCGAAAGTTACCCCTCTTTCACCCCCAAAAAAGTACTTTATCATATTTTTACAATGGATTTTAACACCTAAAGATACTAACAGCATTATAAACACATGTCAAATTAAACACGGTTAATCAATGCATTAATATCTACTGTAGCTACAACAGCCCGTCGTTAACAAGGGAATGGTCGGTAAGCGAACACATTGGGCTCTATGGAGGCACTACACTACTATACACTACACTATACACTACACTACTATACACTACACTATATGCTACACTACTATACACTACACTATATACTACACTACTATACACTACACTACTATAAACTACACTATACACTACACTACTATAAACTACACTATACACTACACTACTATACACTACACTACTATAAACTACACTACTTTACACTACACTATACACTACTATACACTACACTATACTACTATACACTACACTACTATAAACTACACTATACACTACACTACTATACACTACACTACTATACACTACACTACTATACACTACACTATACACTACACATTGGGCTCTATGGAGGTCCGTCGTGAGGCGATTAGTCATTAACTGGTGGTCATTAAGAGGGGTTCTACTATACACTACACTATACACTACTATATCAACTACACTATACACTACTCTACACTACTCTACACTACACTATACACTACACTATACTATACACTACTCTACACTACCATTCACTACACTACTATACACTACTATACACTACACTATACACTACACAGCTATTCACTACCATTCACTATACTACCATACACTACACTACTCTACACTACACTATACACTACTATACACTACACAGCTATACACTATCATTCACTACACAACTATACACTACACTACTATACACTACACATTGGGCTCTATGGAGGCCCGTCGTGTAGCGATTAGTCGTGAAGAGGGGTGCTCGTTAAAGAGGGGCTTCGACTGCCATTGGGGCTATGGGCACGACGCGCCACGGCCACCAAGGGATGACGACCGACGGTCAACGATGACCACGGAGTGACGGCCCGGGGAGACGGAGCGACGAAATCGTCGCGTGTGCCGGTGCCGGGAGGATTTAGTTCATCGGAGGAATCGCGATGGAAGCCGTGGAAGGTTCGACGGGCCTTGATCCAGCGTGCGGATTTGCCCGTGGCCGCGACGGTGATGGTGCTGAAGAAGGCTGGACGGACTCTGTAAGGTGTCAACGTTTTTTTCTTTCCACTGCAGATGCACTCTGCTGGTTCCTGCCCAGAGGAACGTGGAATTTCCACCAAGGGATAAGGAGACCTGCGCCAGGCTCGTTTGAAGGCGCGGGAGGAGACTGGATTGTTGTAAAGTGCCCTCTCGTCGACCCACTGTTGGATGAAGGCCTCTCCCTGCCGCGTCGGCCGTGGGCGTCGTCCGAGCGACCGTACTTCACCACGCTGGCGAAGGCGAACGGGGGGGGGAGGCCCAGAACCGGTTCGGATATCCCATTGATATTAGCTGTGGCCGGGAATCGTACTCGGGGGGGGGGGGGGGAGGGCCAGGTTAGTAGGATAGTAGCGCTGCACCACCGCTCCCACCAATATATGCATTATATGTTCAGAGTATATACAGGAACAATAACCTTGCACAAGTTAAACATAACAACACGCCGGCGAGAGGACGGAGTACTATGTCCGTTAAACATTGCGGTAATGGTGTAATGGGTTACAGAGCGCCTGGATGGCACCACTGAGATCCTGGTCTCGCAGAGGTAGGAGGGAGCGTGGAGGGGAGTAGAGTGGGATGAGAGGGGAGAGGTAGGAGAGTGCGTGGAGGGGAGTAGAGTGAGATGGGAGGGGAGGAGCAGGTAGGAGTGTGGTCCACAGAGGATCTTGAAGGCAGCAAATCAAATCTTCAAATAGATCAGGGATTGGATTGGGAGCCAGTGGAGGGATTGGATTGGGAGCCAGTGGAGGGATTGGATTGGGAGCCAGTGGAGGGATTGGATTGGGAGCCAGTGAAGGGATCGGAGTATCAGGCGATCTTACACTACAAGAACTTCCCAATGAGTACGTCCTCCCATCTCGTGACACAACCCCAACAACCCATTTAGAGTATACTTGGAAATAAACGTTTAAAATCACATTAACAATGAATCGAAAAAATCCATTACGATCCTGTGCGTCACCTTATGCGGACTCTCCGACGAGCAGGGAGCAATGCTCCACATTAAATAAAAAACGTCGCCAATCAGCGAAGTTGGCGAGCCACGTATTTTAAAAAAATATAAACTGTTGCAGCACGATGTCCAACGTTTTGCTCCACGAGGCTAGGCCCTTCTAGGGGAACCGAATCCGAACACTCATGGGAGAGCTAAATAGCCAAGCCTAGTTAAGGCAGCCAAGCCTAGCCGAGGCAGCCAAGCTTAGTTCAGGCAGCTAGTCGTAGCCAAGGCAGCAAGGCCTAGTCGTGGCAGCCACGCCTAGCCAACACAGCCAGGCCTAGCCAACACAGCCAGGCCTAGCCAAGGCAGCGAAGCCTGGTCAAGGCAGCCAAGGTTACGTTAAGAACAAGAACAATTACAACAAGCTGTTAAAAATATGATACGCTTCCGGTGCTTATCATTTGACCGGTTGTGCAGCCAGTAGATTTCACACAATCCGGCCAGTTAGCACAGGGGTAGTGACTGTATTCCCGGTTAACGGCCACCATCCGCCCGGTGTTTAAAAACTTGGCTCCAAATGCCTTTGTGGCGTCATCGCTCGCTGCGACGTCATCGCTCGCTGCAAGGCCACTGGCGCCCCCCCCCCCCCTCCCCTCGACAATACACAAAGGGTGAAAACACCCCTCATCATCATCATCATCGTGCTGCTGTCAAACACCCAGTGGGTTTCATGTGTGGCGGCCTTCACACTCCTCCAACTGGGTGTTGGGGGGAGAGAAAATGGGTGTGAGGTCACTGTGTGTGTGTGTGTATGAAGGAAGTCGGGTCAATCAACATCTATGGAAATATTACAGTGGAGGGCAGGGGGGGGGGGGGGCAGCTAATTGGTCCGGGCGGACATGTGCCGGTCAGTCGGATACGCGACGTTGTACCGTACACGTGTTTGTTTTCTATCGCCCCTCCTCCCCCGCCCCCCTCCAACGTTGAGACAAATAAGAAAAAGAAAACGGCCCTTGTTAAATTTTGGTGGCAAAATCCGCAGGCGCTTCGGCGTGGCTCTCATCGGTGCTGCCATGACCGCCGCCGTCGCCGCCAACACCGGCACCACCGTCACCATCGCCACCGCTGGTACGGAACTCGCAAGCGTCCGCGTAATCCTTGTCCCGGTTGCCCGGGGATCTTCGCAACGGCGGGGACGCTGGACCGCCACCGCCACCGCCGTTGTCTTTGCACCGCTGGCTCATCGTGCGCACCTTGGTGTACATCGCCTCGATCTGCAAACGAGCGAGTGGGGGGGGGGGGGGGGGGGTCAGCGAATCTGGGGTGCCGTGGTGGCTGAGAGATGTTGACTACCTCGCCTGGTATGCAAGGAGGTCGTGGCTTCGATGCCAACCCTGACACCCGCTGTATATTTGGCGTTTGCATGCGTGCCTCTCTCCCTCTGGCCCCGTGGTCGCGTGGATTTTTGTCCGGGCCCCCACGGGTTTTTGCCCTTCCACATTTATGAATCGACGTCACGCGCTTCGGAGTATTTGGCCGCTGCAAGAGATTTCACACGATGATGAGGAGCCGCTTTCGTTGAGCTGTCATTCCTGCGGAACAGGTCGCTTCTGAAAATGGGAGCTACGCAGCTCAGTGGGGGGCCTCTCATCTGGTAAGATAAAAATTGTTCGGTGAGCGCGGAAAAATCCGGTTCGCGATTGCTTTCTCTTGGATTGGGTCACCGCGTGAAAATGTTGCGTCGTAAAATCCTCCCCCCCCCCTCCACCCCTCCACCCGACACGGCTGACTTTTATTTATTCATATTTAATATTTATTTTCCTTGATGCAATGGCGCAGGCCCGTGGCATCCACGTAGTGACGCACGCGTACGCACCGTCAACATCGGCCAAAAGCAGGGGGTAGAGAAAAGTGGTGCGACAGGGCCAATTTTAATAAATGCGTCGGGAGTGAGTGGGCGCATGCCCGAATGTATTATCAGTGCTGTAGCAAGAGCAGCAGCAGCAGCACCACCGGTGGTCGTTTGTAGTTTGTCGTTGTTGACGGAGGGCGACCTCGCAACGTTTTGAACGTGTGACGACGCTTCGCTGGAGGTTAAAATCCAGCGCTCGGATGTCGAGTTCAAGGGTCAAATGAACGCTCGACTAGACTCGCAGGAGCTTTCAAAATCCGGCTTCCTTACCCGCGCGCGATGCACCCCAACGTAATCGAGGGCCAGCCTATTTTCACCGATCGCTCAATAGATTCACCCAATTGCACTGACCTAACCTGGCGCACGTCACAAATGGGATCACTGCTTCCTCGCACAGAGCCACAGAGGCGCGTCAAGTTACATGGAGACCCATAGAGATACGTAGAGACACACAGGGGCCCATAGAGATACACTGAGACACAGAGGCCCGGAGAGATATGTAGAGACTTGTACAGATACACAGAGACATCGAGACACATTAAATGATAAGCCACACAGCAGTGCAGTTGTGCCATGCAAGCCATACTAAAAACCAACCCCGTGTAATAGACCACTGTAGTCAGCACTCCTTCAATGGAGGCGGAACAGCAATGAATGTACATACGTTGAAGTTCTTTCGCACCGCACGTAACCAAACGCGCTAATACGGATACAACTAGGCACAAAAAGCAGTTCTAAAGAAATGAGCTTGTCAATCTAGATGACGATTTTAAAGTTCATGGATCCAGTGGCTACCTAATCACAGAAGGGAGGGCGTTCCAGACGGCCGCAGAAGCGAGGTTGAACGCGCGCGATGCGGTGAAAAGGACGAGACGAAGTCTCTCTTTCTCGTGAAGCCCTCTCGTCACGGCCAGCAGACGTTAGCGTGGAGTTTTTCATTCTTTAGGACTGCCTTTTGTGTTTAGTTTGGCGTCCTTCCCCCGCACATCGGCTTAGCGTGGTTGGCTACGTACAGTGCAAAACAACTTCAACGTGCATACACTATACACTACAATACACGATACACGATATACACCAAAAAGACAAAGGCCCCCCCGTATAGCCTTAACAGACTGTTGGGGCAAGTGCTGTTAGCGAGCGCCTATAAAGGCCGGCATGACACACGAGGGGGTGGGTGGCCAACACCACGCCCGGCCACCTTTGTTTCCCCAGTGGCGATGTTTACACACCGCACCAGGTACTCATTTGAGGCTGAATCGACCTAGGGGAGGCCCAGGACCGGTTCAGATAATCGTCACCGGTTGTTGGCCGTGAGCGGGAATCGAACCCGGGTCGCCAGGTTTGTAGCGCAGCGTAGCGCTAACCGCTACACTACGATACACACTACATTATACACTACACTGCCATACACTACACCACTATGCTAAATTGAGAATTATTATTAGTTAGAACTGCCTTTTGTGTTTAGTTTGTTGTCTTTAGCACGGTTGGCTGTCTCTAGCACGGTTGGCTGTCAAAGGTGCAAAACAAGTTCAACGTGTGTACAAGTTCACTCATACATCCTGAACCGCATTGCTGATGCGGTCTTGCGCAAGAATAGAATGCAAACGAAATTAGCTTTTTTTTTAAACGACTCGTTTACACCGTAGCTTTGTGGCAAAATATACAGCAGGTGACGTTTTGGGATATGGTCCTACTTCATCGCACGCATCTAGACGACACAAGTGGAGGACTGAGCTATTGACCATAGGGCCGTGATGACGATTGCATTTTTTTTTATATCTTTAACGATTCAAGTTAAAAAAAAAAATAGGCATTTGAACAGTAAAGTGTGAGTAGCTCTTGCGTAACAAGACGGACCGGACCGGTCACAGATGGGGTCAACCGAGAAGCATCATAAGCCTGGAATGTTGAGTATGTTCGTACGCTGAACTTCTTTTGCACCATACGTAGCTAACCGTGCCAATCGGAGGTGTGCGGGGGGAATGCCACAAAACTATAACACAACAACAACAACAACAATCAGTTCTGAAGACACGCGTGCTCTTATCGAGGCGCCTGCCAACGCCCGGCACAGCACCCGTCCACGTGAAACCGCTGAACTTTTGCACCGGCACCGCCGTCGCCGTCAGAACAGTACTGACCTCTTCGGGGGTCAGAAATGGGTCCTGTTCCACGGTGCGGTAGTTCACCTCGTCCGTCACCTCCTGCAACGCGCACGCGACAATAATCGGGTCGGGAGGTGAGGACGAGGGTCTTCGGGGTAGGGCGCGTAGAATGACGCTTGTTTGAACCCCCCAGAGAAGGGATGGGCTGATGCGGTTAACAGGACGGCGTGCGCCAGAGTGGACTTGCCGGTGACCGGTACCAGGGGTGTCAAGGTCGGCCTCTGTGGAGGAGGGGGCTCGTGAAGGACGCTGCTGCTGGGCAGCGGTCAGGCTGGCTGCACGGTGAGGCGACTGGGGTGAGCCGGAGGCGGCCGCCCTCCAGCAACAACGGAGGGCGGAGATGAGCGACGCTCGCCAACAACGAGCGGATAAAACGCAGCGAGTTGGCGCGGCAGGGAGCACAGGCGGTGAATCTGCCGGTCATCTCGGTCAGTCAAGCCATGGCACCCGAGTCTCCCCCGTGACCTCCTGCCAGCAGCTAGCCCTCGACGCTTCACGTGGCTTTACAACTGCACCCAGCCTGGTGTGAATACTTTGGCGATGTCACCAGTCGGTGGCGAATGGCAGCTGTTGATTGCTGCTGCCGTTTAAATTTCCTGAGCAGCTCAACGCACCGCTTGTCTCATCTCATCTCAGGCATTCCATTGGGTTGTTGCAGTCTTACCCTCGGGGACCCCCGCACCCCCCCGCACCCCCCCGCACCCCCCCGCACCCCCCCCGCACCCCCCCGCACCCCTCCGCACCCCTCAGCACCCCTCCGCACCCCTCCGCACCCCTCCGCACCCCTCCGCACCCCTCCGCACCCCCCCCGCACTCCAGTAGCAGCTGTCCCTGAGCAGCACTCGGTGTGCACGCAGCACCAGCGGTGGCGTTTCGGCGTCTTCGTCACGATCAAATGCGATCCTCGCCGAGATGACATCAACGACATCAACGACATCAACGACATCAACGACATCAACGACGGCGGCGGCGGTGGCAGCGGTGCCCAGTGATGGACCAGGAAAGCGTCAACGATGGATGGTGCGATGTTAACTACCTCGCCTGGTGTGCCGGAGTCTTCCTGTTCTCCCTGTGGTTTCGTGGATTCTTCTCCGGGTCCTCCGGCTTTACCCTCCTGGGTAAACAGGGGTAATGGTAAAAGATAATAAATATATATCGTTACTCATTAGCTCGTTAGATGAAACATGAAGACAGCCGGTTCAGCACGTAGACATGCAAGAGACACCGGGGGGGGAGGGGGTGACCTAGTGGTCTTAGAAAAGTGCTTATGGAGTATTTGGCCGCTATAAATGTCCACGTGGTGATGAGCCACTTTCGTAATTATTTGTGATAGCCAGGTCGCTTGTGAAAAATAAAATGTCTTAGCGTCAACACAAATTTGAGGATCAGGGGGTTGGGGGGTGGCAGGGGTGGTGGGGGGGGTGAGGGGGTGGGGGTTCATTGCCCGCCCCCTCACCCCCCGCCACCGCCACCGCCCACGAGGCAGCACCTGTGAGTCGCTGCATCCCGCACGCACGGTGAACCGGTGCAGGAAGTCGGAGGCAGTTCCACCCTGGGGACACGGAGACACGGAGACACGGGGACATGGGGACATGCAGGGTCACAGAGACACGGAGACACGGGGACACGGGGACATGGGGACACTGGCATGGACATGCAGGGTCACAGAGACACGGAGACACGGAGACACGGGGACACAGAGACACAGGGACATGGGGACACAGGCATGGACATGCAGGGTCACAGAGACATGGGGACACAGAGACACGGGGACACAGAGACACGGGGTCACAGAGACACGGGGTCACAGAGACACGGGGACACAGAGACACGGGGACACAGAGACACGGGGACACAGAGACACGGGGACACAGAGACACGGGGACACCTGCCTCTGCTCGTCTATCTGCGCGTGCGTGTGTGTTTGTCTCTCTGACTAACAACACTTGCCCCGACAGTCTATTGAAGGCTATACGGGGGATCTTTGTCTTTGTCTCTCTACTCACAGTGGCTTCTTTGCTCTTCCCGTTCGGAGTGCCGACGCCGCTTTCATATCCACCGCCACCTTTTTTTCTGCTGCCGCCGCCCCCCCCGACACCACCAACACCGCCGCCACCAACACCACCAACACCGCCGCCACCACCACCGCCAATGCCACCACCAACATCACCACCAACGCCACCACCAACTCCGCCATCCCCAGGAGCGCCCTCCTCCGTGACAGCATCGTACACCGAATATTCGGCAACTTGCTCGTACAGCTGCTCATCAGCTGCACCGACGCTCGGCTGCCCGGTGGCACTGTTCGCCGACGGCATTGGTAATGCCGCCGACGGTGGTGACTGGCGAACCAGCGTACTGCTCTGCTTCTTGTTCCCCGGTGCTGTACACACGGACACACACACACACGCAGATACACATGCAGACACAATAACAACAACCGCCATTCGCCAGTAAGTGACGGTGACGTCACCACGACGCTTGTGCCAGGCCATGTGCACCTTCAGGCCACGTGAAGTGTCGAACGCCCGCTGGTAGGAGGTCACGGGGCAGACTCAAGTGCCACGAGTCGACTGACTGAGATGACTGAGATGACTGGCTGATGCACCACCTGTGCCCCCTACTGTGCCAACCTGCTGTGCTTTAGCCACCCGGTGCTCCGCTCGTTGTTGTGAGCGTCGCTCCTTCACCCTCTGTTGTTGTTGGAGGGCGACTACCTCCAACTGCCCAGTAGCGTCCTTCACGAGCCTCCTCCACAGAGGCCGATCTTGACACTGCTGGTACCAGTCATCGGCAAGTCCACTCAGCTCCACGTCCTCCTGTACCACACCACTCCATCTCTTCTCTAGCCCGTGCCACGCCCGTTTAGCCCCCTCGATCCGGTCGAACAAAAGCTGCTTCGGCATGTGGTGGCTGGGCATGCGGGCTACATGACCCAGCCAACGCAGCCTTGCCTGCCGGAGGAGCTCACCGATGGGACCTTGCCCAGATCTTTCAAGCATTTGTGAGCTCCTCGCACAATCCAGCCTGGTTAAACCCAGGATGGATCGTAAGCAGGCTAGCCTAAATGTTTCTAACCGGCGAAGATGTTCCATTAGGGGGATCCACGTTTTGCAAGCGTAGAGAAGGGAGGGAATGACCATGGCCGAGAAGACCTGAAGCTTAGTGCGGAGCGATAGACCAGGTAGCTTCCACACAGCGTTAAGCAACCGATGAAAAGATATTGCCGCTCGACTGATTCGGAGTGAGACCTCTGCTGTTAAACTGGAGCCAGTCATAAGCACACTTCCCAGGTATGGGAAACTCTCCACAACTGCCCCATCACCGATTGGGAGTTGTGGGGGTGGAGTGTCCGATGGTACAAATACCCAGGCAGGTGCTTAGTTTTGGTGGGGCTGATGGTAAGGCCCCATCTCTTAGTGGCACGCTCCAGTCTCATCAGCAGCATCTCCAACTCCTCCTCTGAATGAGCAGCTATTACCAAATCATCGGCATACATAACGTGGTTGAGCAATAGGGAACCATCCCTTGACCGCACCTGGGCATCGATCAGCCTCCCATTATATCTGTACCATATGGAGATTCCCCCGGTACAGCTATTGAAGGCTTCACGAATTACGTGGTCAAAATAGATGTTAAATAATGTGGGAGCCAGAGGACATCCCCGTCGCACCCCAAGGTGTACAGGGAATGGCTCTGACTCCCGGCCACGTAGTTTTACCCGGGCCCGCTCACCATCATGAAGGTCCTTAATGATCGTGAGCAGAGGGTCAGGGACTCCAAAAGCACGAAGAACAACCCAGAGCCCAGGTCTACTGATGGTATCATAGGCCTTGACCAGGTCAATAAAGCAGAGGTGTAGGTCTTGCTGAAATTCCCTACACCTCTGCTGTTGCAAACGGACAGAAAATATGGCATCTGTGCAGGACCACCCTTTCCTGAAACTGCATTGGGGCTCCGCAAGCCTCTCCTCAGCGTGCCTAGCAAGGAGATGTTGAATAATCCTTGCCAGGACCTTTCCCGACACACTGAGGAGTGAGATGCCCCTGTAGTTGTTACAGTTTGTGCGGTCCCCCTTCTTAAAGAGGGGGACCACCAGGACATCCTTCCAATCCTGCGGAACCCGTCCAGTGGTCCAGACTGTTGTTATGATGTCATATAGGGCAGTCTGTGCACAAACGCCACCCTCCTTCAGCATTTCGCTTGGGAGATCATCTCTGCCCACTGCCTTTCCTGGTCTCAGACTCCGGATCGGCTTCAGTACTTCCTCAACAGATGGCACCTCAGCCAGCCACTCACAGGGGGTGACTTCTTCCAATATTTGAGGCACTGCAGCCTCAGCAGGGTCATCCCCACTTTGTGCCACGATGTTTTCCTGGCTGAGGGATTTTCCCTCCCCCAGGACCTCACAGAAATGCTCAGCAAATCTGCAAACACGCAGACACACACACGCACACAGACACACGCACGCAGACACACATGCACGCAAGCACACGCAGACACACGCGCTAACACGCAAACACACGCACGCACACATGCACGCAAACACACACGCAGACACACGCACTAAGACACACGCAGACACACGCACGCACACAGACACACACGCAGACACACACGCATGCAAACACACGCAGACACAAGCGCAAACACACGCAGACACACACGCAAACACACGCAGACACACGCAAACACGCACGCAAGCACATGCAGACACACGCAGACAGACACACACGCAGACACACGCACGCACATACGTACACACGCACGCAAACACATGCAGACACACACGCACACAGACACGCAGACGCACGCGCACACACACGCACGTAGACACACGCACGCAGACATGAAGACACACCACCAACTCCGCCATCCCCAGGAGCGCCCTCCTCCGTGACAGCATCGTACACCGATTCTTCGGCAACTTGCTCGTACAGCTGCTCATCAGCTGCACCGACGCTCGGCTGCCCAGTGGCACTGTTCGCTGATGGCATTGGCAATGCCGCCGACGGTGGTGACTGGCGAACCAGCATACTGCTCTGCTTCTTGTTCCCCGGTGCTGTACACACGGAGACACACACACACGCAGACACAACAACAACAACAACCGCCATTCGCCACTAAGTGGCGGTGACGTCACCACGACGCTTGTTCCAGGCCATGTGCACCTTGAGGCCACGTGAAGTGTCGAACGCCCGCTGGCAGGAGGTCACGGGGCAGACCCAGGTGCCACGGGTCGACTGACTGAGATGACTGGCTGATGCACCACCTGTGCCCCCTACTGTGCCAACCTGCTGTGCTTTAGCCACCCGGCACTCCGCTCGTTGTTGTGAGCGTCGCTCCTCCGCCCTCCGTTGTTGTTGGAGGGCGACTGCCTCCAACTGCCCAGTAGCGTCCTTCACGAGCCTCCTCCACAGAGGCCGATCTTGACACCGCTGGTACCAGTCATCGGCAAGTCCACTCAGCTCCACGTCTTCCTGTACCACGTCACTCCATCTCTTCTCTAGCCCGTGCCGCGCCCGTTTAGCCCCCTCGATCCGGCCGAACAAAAGCTGTTTCGGCATGCGGTGGCTGGGCATGCGGGCTACATGACCCAGCCAATGCAGCCTTGCCTGCTGGAGGAGCTCACCGATGGGACCATGCCCAGATCTTTCAAGGATTTGTGAGCTCCTCACACAATCCAGTCTGGTTAAACCCAGGATGGATCGTAGGCAGGCTGGCCTATATGTTTCTAACCGGCGAAGATGTTCCATTAGGGGGGTCCACGTTTCGCAAGCGTAGAGAAGGGAGGGAATGACCGTGGCCGAGAAGACCTGAAGCTTTGTGCAGAGCGACAGACCAGGTAGCTTCCACACAGCGTTACGCAACCGATGAAAAGAAATTGCCGCTCGACTGATTCGGAGTGAGACCTCTGCTGTTAAACTGGAGCCGGCCAGGCACACACGCAGACACACACACGCAGACACGCACGAAGACACGCGCAGACACACACGCACGCAGACATACGCAGACATGCGCAAACACGCAGACACACGCACGCGCACATGCAGACACACGCAGACACACGCACGCACACACGTACACACGCAAACACACGCAGACGCACGCACACACACACACGCACGCAGACACACGCACGCACGCAGACATGCAGACACACGCAGAGGCGCACAAAAGATCCCCCGTGTAGCCTTCAAGAGACCGTAGGGCGAGGGATGTTAGCGAGCAGCACCTATGAAGGCCGGCACGGCGCACGACAGGGCGGTGTGGCCAGCACCACCCTGCTCGGTGCTGATACTGTTTACACACCGCACCAGGGTGCATGTCTTCGCAGCCCAAGGGGAAAGGCCCAGGACCGCTTCAGATAATCGTCAGTGACATTGGCCGTGAGCGGGTATCGAACTCGGCCCGCCGGGTTGGTAGCGCGGCGCGATAGCCGCTGCACTGCCGCTCCCCGCCGTGCCCCGCCACTGCGCACAAAGGCAAAGATCCCCCGTATAGCCTTGAAGAGTTCGACGGCGGGGGCAAGTGCTGTTAAGCGAGCAGCACCTGTTAAGGCCGGCGACGGCACGTGACGGGGCGGGTGCGGCCAGCGCGACGCAGCGCCCGGCCGCCCTTTGTGCCCTTCCCCGGTGTCGACGTTTTACACAACCGTAGCAGCTCCCCATTGTATTTAAGGCTGAGCTGACCTAGGGGACGCCCAGGGACAGGCATGGCTGGCGTCATCGTGTTTGGTCCCGGCCGCTTTGCGTCTCCGAGTCCCAGGGTCTCCGAGTAACAAGGGGGGCGGGGGGGGCGGTGGTTACCTCTCCGTTCAACGATGCTGTTTGTGACTCGATGCTGGGTCACTTTTGGGCCTCATGGGGACCGGAGCTCGGCGTTGGCCGTGAAAAATGCAATGTAACGTAATGTCACGTAACGCTCTCGACGATAACCACCATCGCTCACTCGCTCACCCACCGGTCCCTCTCTGCGAGGCGCTTCCGTCTCCTCTGTGTGGCTGCTGCTGCTGCTGCTGACGATCAAGCTGCTGCTGCTGCTGACGCTCCTGCTGCTGCTGCTGACGATCCTGCTGCTGCTGCTGCTGACGCTGACGATCCTGCTGCTGCTGCTGACGCTGACGATCCTGCTGCTGCTGCTGCTGCGGCTGCTGACTCTGATGAACCGTGCCGTTCTTCGCCGGCCTCTGCAGTTTGGGTGCCTATTACAGACATGAGCGATTGTTGATGGTGATGATGGTGGCAATGATGATGATGGTGGTGGTGATGATGATGATGCTGCTGATGATGATGATCATGATGATGATGACAATGCTGCTGCCAAGGATGATGATTAAGATGAAGCAGCTGCTGCTGATGATAATGCTGATGCTTATGATGATGAAGAAGCTTAGATGACACTGCTTCTGCTGCTGATGATGATTATGATGATGAAGAAGATGATGGCAGCTGATGCTGCTGCTGATGATGACCCTGCCGTTGCTGCTGCTGATAATTATGATTATGTTCAAGCAAGCAATGCGGTGGTGGGGGTACCCTCGTGTAATTTTGACAGTTTTGAAACCAGTCGTGGAAATTCCACATTCCTATGGCAGGGGACGAGTCGTCCGTAGTCAACCCATGACATGCTGGGCGGATCGTTACGTCACAGGATTGGGAGAGGTGGCAGCGGTGGCTTTAGAGAAGGCCCTCATCCAGCAGTGGATTGACCATGGCTGCTGATGATGATGAAGAAAAAGATAAATGGACGATGATGATGATGATGGTAAGTGATGTACACACTGCATCTCCGTACCCTTAGGGTGATCCGGTCCGAATTGCCATCATCGTCCCTGCGCGAGACAGAGGTGGGACACACGCACGCATCTCACCAGGGGGCGTCGCCACGGTGGCTGGGAGATGTTAACTACCTCGCCCGGTGTGCAGGGGGTCGTGGGTTCGATCTCGACCCCGACGCCTGCCGCTGCTGCTGCTGCTGTATATTTGGAGTCTGCGGTGTCTCTCTCCCCGGGGTCGCGTGGATCGTTCCAAGGTTCTCCGTTTCCCCCCCCCGCCCTCCACATTCGGCATCGACATCGCGCGTTCAGAGTATGTGGCGACTGCCTTAAATGTCCACGTGGTAAGCCACATCGTTGAGCTATCGATTGTGGCCAGGTCGCTGCTAAAAAAAAGATGCTTCATAGCTCAGTGGGCCCTTATCTGGTAAAAATAAAACAATATATTGTAGTTTATAACCGCTTCAAAAGACAAAATCCCCCGTATATAGCCTTAACAGACTGTTGGGGGCAAGTGCTTTCACACGAGGGGGTGGGTGGCCAGCACCACGCCCGGCCGGCCTTTGCCTCCCCAGTGGTGATGTTGACACAGTCACTCATTTGAGGCCGAGTCGATCTAGGGGAGGCCCAGGACCGGTTCACATATCGTCACTGATGGTGGTGTTGGCCGTGAGCGGGAATCGAACTCGGATCACCGGGTTCGATGCGCAGCGCGCTAACCGCTTGCACTACAACTCCCCACACAAACACGTACAAACACGTCCATATATACAAACATTCAAATGCATACAAGTACATACACGTACATACACATACAGTGAAACCTTGGATTGCCAGCATAATTCGTTCCGGAAACGTGCTCGTAATCCAAAGCACTCGTATATCAAAGCAAATTTCCCCGTAAGAAATCATGGAAACTCAGATGATTCGTTCCACAACCCAAAAATACTGTGTTCATATAAAAATGATTAATACAAAATAACTTTTATTTCTTTTTATTATCTAAATTTAATATAAAGTAATCAAATTTATTAATTACATTTAATCGTGGCTGGTGTGAGGGAGACGAGAGAGAGGAGGGTTATTGTGTAGGACGACTTTCACTTGCAGTATAGTTGCTAAACAAGTCACTACACTTGGACACAAAATAAAAACATGCTTTACGCACACACACGTGGTCACAACACTATAGTACTGTAGTAAACAGTATACACGTGGTCACAACACTATAGTACTGTAGTAAACAGTATACACGTGGTCACAACACTATAGTACTGTAGTAAACAGTATACACGTGGTCACAACACTATAGTAAACAGTATACACGTGGTCACAACACTATAGTACTATAGTAAACAGTATACACGTGGTCACAACACTATAGTACTATAGTAAACAGTATACACGTGGTCACAACACTATAGTAAACAGTATACACGTGGTCACAACACTATAGTACTATAGTAAACAGTATACACGTGGTCACAACACTATAGTACTGTAGTAAACAGTATACACGTGGTCACAACACTATAGTAAACAGTATACACGTGGTCACAACACTATAGCACTATAGTAAACAGTATACACGTGGTCACAACACTATAGTACTGTAGTAAACAGTATACACGTGGTCACAACACTATAGTACTGTAGTAAACAGTATACACGTGGTCACAACACTATAGTACTGTAGTAAACAGTATACACGTGGTCACAATACTATAGTACTATAGTAAACAGTATACACGTGGTCACGACACTATAGTAAACAGTATACACGTGGTCACAACACTATAGTACTGTAGTAAACAGTATACACGTGGTCACAACACTATAGTACTATAGTAAACAGTATACAGGTGGTCACAACACTATAGTAAACAGTATACACGTGGTCACAACACTATAGCACTATAGTAAACAGTATACACGTGGTCACAACACTATAGTACTGTAGTAAACAGTATACACGTGGTCACAACACTGTAGTAAACAGTATACACGTGGTCACAACACTATAGTAAACAGTATACACGTGGTCACAACACTATAGTACTATAGTAAACAGTATACACGTGGTCACAACACTATAGTACTGTAGTAAACAGTATACACGTGGTCACAACACTATAGTAAACAGTATACACGTGGTCACAACACTATAGCACTATAGTAAACAGTATACACGTGGTCACAACACTATAGTACTGTAGTAAACAGTATACACGTGGTCACAACACTATAGTACTGTAGTAAACAGTATACACGTGGTCACAACACTATAGTACTGTAGTAAACAGTATACACGTGGTCACAATACTATAGTACTATAGTAAACAGTATACACGTGGTCACGACACTATAGTAAACAGTATACACGTGGTCACAACACTATAGTACTGTAGTAAACAGTATACACGTGGTCACAACACTATAGTACTATAGTAAACAGTATACAGGTGGTCACAACACTATAGTAAACAGTATACACGTGGTCACAACACTATAGCACTATAGTAAACAGTATACACGTGGTCACAACACTATAGTACTGTAGTAAACAGTATACACGTGGTCACAACACTGTAGTAAACAGTATACACGTGGTCACAACACTATAGTACTATAGTAAACAGTATACACGTGGTCACAACACTATAGCACTATAGTAAACAGTATACACGTGGTCACAACACTATAGTACTGTAGTAAACAGTATACACGTGGTCACAACACTGTAGTAAACGGTATACACGTGGTCACAACACTATAGTACTGTAGTAAACAGTATACACGTGGTCACAACACTATAGTACTGTAGTAAACAGTATACACGTGGTCACAACACTATAGTACTGTAGTAAACAGTATACACGTGGTCACGACACTATAGTACTATAGTAAACAGTATACACGTGGTCACAACACTATAGTACTATAGTAAACAGTATACACGTGGTCACAACACTATAGTAAACAGTACACACGTGGTCACAACACTATAGTACTTAGTAAACAGCATACACGTGGTCACAACACTATAGTACTGTAGTAAACAGTATACACGTGGTCACAACACTATAGTACTGTAGTAAACAGTATACACGTGGTCACAAAACTATAGTACTGTAGTAAACAGTATACACGTGGTCACAACACTATAGTACTGTAGTAAACAGTATACACGTGGTCACAACATTATAGTACTGTAGTAAACAGTATACACGTGGTCACAACACTATAGTAAACAGTATACACGTGGTCACAACACTATAGTAAACAGTATACACGTGGTCACAACACTATAGTACTATAGTAAACAGTATACACGTGGTCACAGCACTATAGTACTATAGTAAACAGTATACGCTCGCATGGATGTTGACTATACGAGTGAGGCACGCCAACTGAGACCGAGCATGCGAGACGATTACCCACAATCCCGCAGCGAAAGAGAGAGAAGAACCATTGGCTCAGTTGTAATCACGTGACGCTCGGCAGACAAAGCGTGTCCTGTGTACGTACTGCTCGTATTGCAAGACATCGCTCGTTTATCAAATTATTATTTATTTAAAAAAATTTGCTCGTCTTGCAAAACACAATCGTAGACCAAGTTACTCGCAATCCAAGGTTTTCACTGTACATACACGTACGTACATACATGTAAAGGAAGGCTATTCTATCACACGCGCCTCGTCATTCTCCTTACTGTCAATCGGGGATTCACGTTCCACACAAATATATATTTGCTGGGTCGATGTGTCGACTGTAGCCGGTGGGCCGTGGATTCGGAGTCTTCGTCTCCCTACGTGTAATAAGTAAATACATTTTATATATATATATAAAATTACACATCCCAACAGCTGCACCACCTTCTCGGAGTGTGTATGCACGATGCCAATGATTTTGTGTTGTGTATAATGTTGTGGGGGTTTGCGTAGAACTGGGGACCAATGTCTAACACACAGCAAGGGCCCTTCCCTATAAACATCTGGGCAGTTCGCCAGCTTTGAGTCAAGCAAGTCTGACTGCTGATGAGACACTGAATGTTGAAAAGCAGTCCAGAGTTTTTCTTGCATTGAACCAATTCTGCTGAAATGATGCACTCCCACAATTAAGGCCGTGCACGCGTGTCTGATGGGATGTGTAAAGATACATTAATTAAATAGGTTTTTTTTCTTTCCCAAACGTGAAGGACACTGCAATAGGAATGGAGGTGATCGGCTCACGATTTTGTTTTCCGATGATCTCCCCAATGGCGCGAATGATGACATCGGCTGAAATCAACTCTGTTCTGTATTTAAGTCGCAGAGCCACCAAGATAGCGTCTCTCTCCGCCAACACTCGCCTGAAAAACCACTCACTCAGCCCACACCCACAGAAACACTCGCCCGCAAAACCACTCACTCAGCCCACACCCACAGAAACACTCGCCTACAGAAACACTCGCCCGTAAAACCACTCACTCAGCCCACACCCACAGAAACACTCGCCCACAGAAACACTCGCCCGCAAAACCACTCACTCAGCCCACACCCACAGAAACACTCGCCCACAGTAACACTCACTCAGCCCACACCCACAGAAACACTCGCCCACAGAAACACTCGCCCGTAAAACCACTCACTCAGCCCACACCCACAGAAACACTCGCCCACAGAAACACTCGCCCGCAAAACCACTCACTCAGCCCACACCCACAGAAACACTCGCCCGCAAAACCACTCACTCAGCTCACACCCACAGAAACACTCGCCCACAGAAACACTCGCCTGAAAAACAACTCACTCAGCCCACACCCACAGAAACACTCGCCCACAGAAACACTCGCCCACAGAAACACTCGCCTGCAAAACCACTCATTCAGCCCACACCCACAGAAACACTCGCCCGCAAAACCACTCACTCAGCCCACACCCACAGAAACACTCGCCCACAGAAACACTCGCCCGTAAAACCACTCACTCAGCCCACACCCACAGAAACACTCGCCCACAGAAACACTCACTCAGCCCACACCCACAGAAACACTCGCCCGCAAAACCACTCACTCAGCCCACACCCACAGAAACACTCGCCCACAGCGCCGCTCGCCCACAGCACCGCTCACCTTAAGCAGTCAATGCACGCAAACAGCACAACCCCCAGAGATGCCAGCGCTCCCAGCAGCGCAACCACCGTCACCCAGGGCTCGAACTGGGCTCCTCCAACTCCGAGGAGCACGGGCGCCATGGTCCACGGTGGGGCACGTGGAGGAACCGGTCCGGGTGCTCTCGCTGCTCGCTCCGAGCGTCACGCGGGAGACCTGCAGGGGACATCGGGGGGAGGGAGGAGGAGAGGGAGAGGGACAGAGGGAGGAGGACGAGGTGAGGGAGGAGGACGAGGTGAGGAAGGAGGAGCGGTATGAGGAGGTGGAGGAGAGCAAGGAAGAGAATATAGAATGGAGGGGAAGCAGGAGGAAGGGGAGGGGGGAGGGATGAGCAGGAAGAGGAGGAGGGATAGGAGGATGAGTGGTAGAAGGAGGAATAAAGGAAGAGGTGGCAAGCAAGTTTCAAGTTTCATTTATTAGGTATAGCCCTGTGAGCCAAGCAGAGGTTGGGAGCGAAAGAGGAGGAAGAGGATGTAGAGCGTGATGAGGTGGTGGTGGTGGAGTGGGAAGAGAGGGACCAAGAGGGAGTCGACGGAGAGCTTCTTCAGCAATCCCGACTTTGAGTTGGGGGCCACGCTGCCGCTGTGGGATTGGTGGCCGTGCCGTGCCAGCATACGGTCGGTGGCATTCGTAGCGATCGCTGCAGCTCGACTCGTAGCGTGTGAGACGGAAGCCGTAGAGAGAGAGAGACACACACACAGAGAGAGACACACACAGAGAGAGAGACACACAGAGAGAGAGAGAGACACACACAGAGAGAGAGACACACACAGAGAGAGAGAGAGACACACAGAGAGAGAGAGAGACACACACAGAGAGAGAGACACAGAGAGAGAGAGAGACACACAGAGAGAGACACACAGAGAGAGAGACACACACAGAGAGAGACACACAGAGAGAGAGAGACACACAGAGAGAGACACACAGAGAGAGAGAGACACACAGAGAGAGAGACACAGAGAGACACACAGAGAGAGAGACACACACAGAGAGAGACACACACACAGAGAGAGACACACACACAGAGAGAGACACACACACAGAGAGAGACACACAGAGAGAGACACACACAGAGAGAGACACACAGAGAGAGAGAGACACAGAGAGAGAGAGAGAGACACACACAGAGAGAGACACACACAGAGAGAGACACACACACACAGAGAGAGACACACAGAGAGAGAGACACACAGAGAGAGAGACACACAGAGAGAGAGACACACACAGAGAGAGACACACACAGAGAGAGACACGGAGACACGCCAATACCAATACCCGACATTCGCCACTAAGTGTCGGTGACGACTGTGCCAGGCCAGGTGCACTTTGAGAGACGTGCAGATGCATTTTGTGTTTATTTGGCCAGGGTAAGGCCCCACTAAGTTATGTAGATATTTGTTTTATTACAGGCTTTTATTTAACTCACTCTGTCTGTTGTTGTTGTTGTCGTATACTCAAATCTTGTACAGTCATACCTCGGTATACGACCGCTTTGGAATACGGCGAATTTGGTATACGTCGTGTTTTGACGAGAAAAAAATGTCTTGGGATACGACGTCTTGCTTGGGATACGACGTCTTGGGATACGACGTCTTGGGATACGACGTCTTGGGGTACGACGTCTTGCTTGGGATATGACGTCTTGGGGTACGACGTCTTGCTTGTGACACGACGTCTTGGGATACGACGTCTTGGGATACGACGTCTTGGGATACGACGTCTTGGGGTACGACGTCTTGCTTGGGATATGACGTCTTGGGGTACGACGTCTTGCTTGTGACACGACGTCTTGGGGTACGACGTCTTGGGATACGACGTCTTGTGATATGACGTCTTGTGATATGACGTCTTGCTTGGGGTACGACGTCTTGCTTGGGGTACGAGGCGCTTGCTAAAACTTGTATGGGTCGGGATGAGTCACCGCGTACCCGCGTAGACCCCGTTCACGACCGAGACAAAGCGCCGCTCCTCAGTCTGCCTGTAGATCTCGTTCAGTGCACAACCCTTGCTAGAACTGTGAATTTGCACGTGTTTTTTGCCATTTATTTAATTTATTTATGCATTTATTCTAATGTGTGTATGCATTTTAGTAATAAGTAGTGTCTACATTATGTTATACAACCCCCATTAATGTTTAATATGCCATATAAAATAAAATTTCTTATACTCTGGAACGAATTGTTTCCTTTCCATTTATTTCTTATGGGAACTAAAAAAGTTTGGTATATTCGTCATTTTCGGTACAAGTCCTCCTACCTTCTGGAATGAATAAACGACATATACCGAGGTACCGCTGTAACTCAATTGTAACCCACTTCCCAATGTGGTATCGACTGCAAACCTGGTATACTTGTGCCATACTGATGACAATACTGTATTCTGTCATTTAAAATTAAAAACACATCTTTCAACCATCTTCTTTTTATATATGTTACGTTGGCTGTAAGTCACCACGGGCCCCCTTACGTTGTGCCAAGCTTCGGGGCCACTTCCTGGACTCGTGGAGTTTTGCCATTACGAGTACGGTACGTTTAATGAAAGCGTGGTTTTTAAAAAAATATATTTTAAAATATTACTCATTTCAGAAGCGACCACCTTGGCTATCGCAAACGACAGCTCGAGGAAGTGGACTCATCATCGTGTGGACATGTGTAGCAGCCGAATTCTCTAAATGCGCGACGTTGATTCTCAATGTGGGGATGGGAGAAACCGGAGGAGCCGGATAGAAATCCACGGGACCAAAGGGGAGAGAGACATTGTACAAATGAGCAGCAGGCGTCAGTGGTCGGGATCGAACCCACGACCTCCTGTATGCCAGGTGAGGTAGCGTACATCTTGCCTCTGTGGCGCCAAATACAAGACAAAGATCTTTCGATTTTAAGCTTTCGTGACTGCAAGGATTAATCTTTTTTGGTTCTTTCGGTAAAGTCATCAGGTGAAAGAACAGAACTGTCGTGAAAATGTTATTGTCTTATTTGATTTTATTTTATTATTTTATTCTCATTCTACGTGACTTTACCGAAAGAACCAAAGAAGACAAAGATCCCCCGTATTGCCTTAACAGACTGTTGGGGCAAGTGCTGTTAGCGAGCACCTATGAAGGCCGGCACGGCACGCGAGCGGGTGGGTGGCCAGCAACCACGCCCGGCCGCCTTTGTCTCCCCAGTGGCGATGTTTACTACACACGCACCAGGTACTCATTTGAGGCCGAGTCGACCGAGGGGAGGCCCAGGACCGGTTCAGATAATCTTTACCGGTGTTGACCGTGAGCTGAAATCGAACTTTGGTCGCCGGGTTTGCAGCGCAGCGTAGCTGACTGCCACGCCACCGTTCCCCACGCACACACACAGACACACACAGACACACACAGACACACACAGACACACACAGACACACACAGACACGCAGCACACACAGACACACACAGACACACACAGACACGCAGCACACACAGACACACACAGACACACACACAGACACACACAGACACACACAGACACACACAGACACACACAGACACACACAGACACACACACACAGACACACAGACACACACAGACACACACAGACACACACACACAGACACACACAGACACACACAGACACACACAGACACACACAGACACGCAGCACACACAGACACACACAGACACACACAGACACGCAGCACACACAGACACACACAGACACACACACAGACACACACAGACACACACAGACACACACAGACACACACAGACACACACAGACACACACACACAGACACACACAGACACACACAGACACACACAGACACACACACACAGACACACACACAGACACACACAGACACACACACAGACACACACAGACACACACAGACACACACAGACACACACACACACGCACACACACAGACACACACACGCACACACACAGACACACACAGACACACACAGACACACACAGACACACACACAGACACACACAGACACACACACAGACACACACACAGACACACACAGACACACACAGACACACACAGACACACACGCACACACACAGACACACACAGACACACACAGACACACACAGACGACACGTGCGACGCCCATTGTTTGAATTCCACGGTGAGCCGGGGGGCAGGATAGCAATGACTCGGAGTGCCGCAGGAATTCGAGCCATGCGCGGTAGCTGGTGGGTCAGGGTGGGGTGGGGTCGGGGGGGTCAGTCTCGGCAACCCACGCAGGCCACCTTAATTTCAAGCGGGGGTTCTCGATCGTAGCGAGGTTTCAGTGACGGGTCTCTTGCCAGTGACCGTTGACTTGCGTGGAGACCACCCCCCCCCCAAAAGGTGCTCGCCACAGATGAACCACGGTTACTGCAACAGCTCGATCATCTCGTCAAGGAGCAGAAACCATCATCACACCAACTACGGTTATCATCCTCGCAGCAGCCACAGTCGCTTTTGACTGCTAACCATCGAATAAGTAATATTTTTTGAAAACTTTTTTTTTTTAAACCACGCTTTAATGAAATGTACCGTACTAGTAATGGCAGAACTCCACGACTTCAGGAAGTGGCCCCGAAGCTTGGCCACAACGCAAGGGGACCCGTGGTGATTTACAGCCAACGTCAGTTGAGCGTGGACAATTAAAACCCAAGCCGAAACATAATAAATAAATAAAGATTGTTTAAAAATAATTGGCTTATTTTATAGAATATAGTATTGTCATCAGTAAGACATAAGTATACCAAGTTTGCAGTCGATACCACATTGGGAAAGTGGGTTAAAATTGAGTTACAAGATTTGAGGATACAACAACAACAGACAGTGATACATATGCTTAGTTCTTTCGGTAAAGTCACGTTGAAGGGAAGCAATAAAATAATAAAGTTTTTTTAAACAATAAAAATTCTCACGACGTTTCGACCATATCACAAACGGTCGTCATCAGGTGACCGTTTGTGTTATGGTCGAAACGTCGTGAGAATTTTTATTGTTTTATATATATTTTATTATTTTATTGCTTCCCTTCAACGTGACTTTACCGAAAGAACCAAGAATATGAATCACTGCAGTCACGAAAGCTTTAAATCAAAATTGAACAGAAAGTGAGTTAAATAAAAGCGTGTAATAATAATAAAAAGACAGTTACCGCATCGCACACGTTCAG